TAGAATAGAATAGAATAGAATAGAATAGAATAGAATAGAATAGAATAGAATAGAATAGAATAGAATAGAATACTTTATTGGCCAAGTGTGTTTGGACACACAAGGCATTTGTCTTGGTGTAAATACTCCCAGTATACATAAAGAAAAGGAACATTAGTTAAGAATCAAGAATCATAACGAACAACACTTAACGATAGTCATAGGGTACAATCAACAATCAAATCATACTAGGAAACAGTCAATATAAATCATAAGGATACAAGCAATTCCTCTGTATGCCTTTAAACAAACCACTTTCTCTCATTCTCTGTCCTAATCATTCATCTACACAATTCTGTTGACAATAAGTAGTCTGTTAAAGAGATTAATAAGGTTTCTACCAAGATGTACCATATATAAACATATTTAAGTACTCCTGAACATTATTGAAATGTTGATCATTATTGAACTGCAGATCTTCTTTAAAATCTCTTTAAAATTTTAATTTTGTAAAAAAATATCATGGGCATCCATTCACAACTCAGTAGGCAATAGTAATGATAAATCTCAATAGATAGGCAAACTGGTGAATTAAAAGATAAGTTATTTGCCCAGGAACTCAAATATATGGCAAAGGTACCTAAGTGTTAGGAGAGGTGAGAAGATTGAGGTATAGGTGAACCCATAGTTTAACTTTGAACCTATAATTCTCAATCAACTTTTTTTCAAATCATTGTTTCTACTTCATACATAAACATTTTTTGGGCTTTCTCTTCAATTATTCCCATCAATATTCTGGTCTTTAGTCAGTCAGTAATCTTTTTTTTTTACTATCTCTAAACCTTCAACTTTTACCAAGCAGTAGAAATGGGATCCATGCTATCTTTTTTTTCTATTAAAAAGTCCATTCACGTCTAATAAAGCTGATGCATTTCTTATTATTTTGATTAAATATAATGTGTGTATAAATCATAGGTGTGTTTGTTTTTCAGGCTCTGATCCAGCTGCCCCCATACATCTCTCAATGTGATGAGGTTCTTCAGTTTTTTGAAACAAGGCCAGAGGACCTAAATCCTCCTAAAGAGTAAGTTATTGTTAATAAGGTATAGTATTGTCTTTGTGTGTGTTTGTATGTATGTATGAGAGAGAGAGAGAGAGAGAGAGAGAGGGAGGGAGGGAGGGAGGGGGAGAGGGAGAGGGAGGAGGTGAAAAATGAAATGTAAAAATGAATGTCAGACCTATCCATTGTATGTAGAAAATAGACATTTTCCAATAACATTTTATTAACAAGAATAAATACAGTAGTACTTGGTATTCAACTGAATACCAAACTCAATAAAACTAATTGAATTTGGTACTCAATGCATTTTAACATGAACATTTTGTCCTGGTACTCATAGTTTGTTTGTTATGCTATACACAAGCTAAAATTTCATTCTATCAGCTGCATTGTGATTCACTACATTATTCCTTATGAGGAAAATTTGTTTGGTATTCATCATTTTTGGTACTCATCATGCCTCCTGGAACTAATTAACAATTACAAAGATACCATTGTACAAGAGTTTAAGATAAATTAGCTTAGACAAACCTGAAACCTATTTTTTAACAAAAACAGTTATATTTCTGGCATCTGTTCATTGCATACAAAAAGTTATCTATCATCTTCATAAACATAACAGAGGGTGATAACTTCTTGTTTATGATATCAAGAAGATGAGAAATATTTCACTTTTCTTCAGAGGATTCTAGAAGTGATAGTAGAGTTCCAAATATTAAGAAAGCTTACTGAAGATGATGCATGTTTGTTCATGCTATCACCTGGAGCTGACTGACTGCCTCTATCTAATTGCTTTAGAGTCTGGTCTAATGTATTTATAAGTCAAGTTTTACTACTAAAGGGGCTTACTAAGTTTTAACTGAAACCTTTGATTAGCTCTTTGGGGAATTAAGTAGCAAGTGTGTTTTAGAATACGTAGGCTGATGAAAGAGTGCTATTTCTGGCAGAGAGATCTACTAATCTTGGAACTGTAGAACCACCTACATTCCATCTTCTTTTGAAGGCAAACACAGGAAGGATGGGAGAGCTGTAGGATCTGATAATCACATATTCTTGTAATGATAAGAGTAAAGAGGGGGAATTAGAATTGTTTTAAGACCCAAGTTGTCATATTTTATCTGATCTTTCAAAAAATTTAAACACTCTATCACAACCAAATTCAATAGAAAACCTTTGCAGACGATAATCTGACCTTTCTCCAACTGTAATATGAAGTGATGGAAGGAGAATAAAGCGTGATAAGCAGACAATGGAAAGGGAAGATTGTGAGGTTCTTGATGCTCTCTGAGGTTGTTTTCTTGTAGAGGTTTCCTTACCAACTACTGATAATATTACCTTTGTAATGAAACCTCTGCAAGAAAACAACCAAAGCTCAGAGAGCACCAAAAACCTCACAATTCAACCCTGAACTACAAATATTCTCTTTGTGTTTGAAGCTGTTGATTTGACTTGCTGGTATGTTCTCTGTCATTTCACAGCTGTCAAAATTCACTCAGTAGAGTGGCTGTGGAGCATATCTTAAGTCTGCATTTCAGTATTAAGTTGGGGTTGTTGTTTTTTTGTAAAACAGTGCTACAATATTTTTTTTGTGAGTTTGCCACTGCTGCTAACAAGATCTAAATCACTACTTCAGAGACATTTCTTCTTTTGTTTCTCAAAGGATACATTATTTCTCCCACCAGTTTTTGTATTCTACGTCTCAACCATCTCACACTTAGAAGTAAAATGCCAATTACTTGTTTCCTCGCTTATTCTTTTTTTGGTGACTTTAGCATCTCATTTAAACCAGCCATTCATGGTACTTTATACTGTTCCAATAGCAATGAACCTTGGAACTGCTTACTTTTTCCATTAATGAAAATGTGCAAATATCAGTGAGTTATAAAGTTATAAATTTCAGCAGTGAGAAAACATATTACCATGTCTAATTGTACACAATTGTTTTATGTCAAGAAAAACCAAAAGCAAAAGGCATTTTCCTGTTTTCAATTTCTTAAGTAACTTTTATTGACAAACAGCAAACACATGTGTGTGTTTTCCTTGCAAAACAAGGATATTTGCAATCCATTCTTCTGCCTATCCTTGCCTGATGTAACATTTGCCTTGTGACCATCAGCTGCCTATGGCTGGAAGCCCTTTTGTGAACCATTTTGAGCATAAATATAACCCATCCTCCATCATCTGTGTGGAATGCACAGTTATGCAAAGATATTGTGCAAATTGATGTTGAGAAATACTTTATTGGAAAGATTAGAACAGTTGTTATTCTCTATATCTGAGCACAGAGCCTTCCAATACCCATGTCATTTACAAAGAATTGTTTTCAATTGGACAGATTTTCTTTCTGCATCTGTCTTTAAAAACTTTATATTTCTGTCTTCTTTCAACTTTTTTCATATTGTTTGTTTACCCAACTTTCTTCTTTCAGCCATTTAATTCAATTGGTGCAAAAACCCAGAGCCTATCAACTATGCTGTTTTCTTTTGTCAACTTGGTTTTTCCTCCTTAAGCTTCCTTTGCTTCTGTCAATTCATCAGCTAATGCATTGAAAGACACAAAGAGAAACACAGACTTGAGTACACGGCATGTTGAATGGTATAGAGACATTTATTTTGTTACTTTTAGGATAGAACCATATTTTTCTGCCTCATCAAAGGAGAAGTGGAATAATAGAAAGAGATTGTTTCATAGGTGTTCAGGCTTTATGTTCTCCCAGATTCAGTTTTGTTGCTGTAGGACAGAACCTTGAGTGGACTGTCCCTCCCTCCTATAGAACTGAGCTGAGCCACATTTTTTAAAAAAATAAAACTGTAGAATTTACTGTATCTACCTATACATGTAAATATGTGCTTGCTTCATGACTTTCATTTCTTGATTTCTAGCATTTGTGAATCCATATCTTTTGTAGACTGAATCTTTGACCTTTGCTGACTTAATCTTCTACTCTGTTCTCTGATGCCATTTGGACTGTATGTGCTATAATGTTGGTTTGGGAGATATTAGAACATCAATAATTTGTATTATTATGTGGATGATATTAACCTGAAAGCCTAAAAATGCAAAAGGTCTGCAGACTGTAATAATAAAAGTCAAGAAGCACAGTGAAAAAAAAATAGGGCTATGATTAAATATAAAAAAGACCAAATTAATGATTGTAGGTAAAACCAGCCAGAGAACTGTCAGTCGAGGCATTCAAGTAATAGATATTTTCTGCCTTTTGAATTAACCATCAACACTAACGGAACAAGTGATCAAGAAGTACATCATAGACTTAACACTTGGTAAAGTGAAGCCATGAAGCCAAATGTCGTGTCTATACCTACAAAGATCAGAATCTTGCAATCTATGATATTCTTTGAGATTCTCTGTAGTAGTGAAAATTGGACTTTGAGAAAGTGAGATGAGAAGAGTACAGATACTTTTGAACTCTGGTGTTTGAGAAGACTCTTGGGAATACCATGGACAGCCAAGAAAACAAACAAATGAATCATTCAACAAATCAACCTAGACTTTTCACTTGAAATACAAATGATCAGGCTTAAATTATCCTCCTTCAGATCCATGATGCAAAGACTTAGTTCTCAGGAGAAGCTCTAATGCTGGGAAAGATAGAAGGAAAGAAGAAGATGATCAGCAGCTAGGTAGATAGACCCAATTATAGTGGCAATATGTCCGCCATTGGAAGACCTGAAAGACAGGTTAAGGGCAGATCATCATGGAGGAAATCTATCTGTGTGATCAGTAAGAGTTGATAACAACTTGAGAGTACATAATTAGTCATGCCCAGTCTGTTGCACTGCTATTGAGGTGCCCTTAAATTGGAACACAACCTCAAAATATTGTATTATTTTAGAGTATTTGTAATACTTTCTTTTGTAATTAGTTTTCCATATATAATTGCCATGTTGAATTGATCAAGATGTTGCATTGGAAACTTTCTCCCTTGGGTTCCTGCTTCTTTCTTGAATGACTTGGATGGTTTGATGGGCTACTACATGATTTCTTTCTCTGTCCTAATTCAACACTTTTATGTAAGAGGCATGTAAGGGATTACATGTAGTCCTTGCATATTGACTACTACTTCAAAAGCCATTCAAAATTGTGACAGTGTTGAACAAGTGGTACTTATAACTGGTCCTCAAAATGCTATTGTAGCATCCCTGAGGTCATGTGATTACAGTTCGGGTGCTTGGCAACCAGCTCACACTTGACATCATGTGATCACCATTTGCAACTTTTCCTGCCAGTTTTCCACAAGCAAAGTCAATGGGGAAGCCTGCAGGAAAAGTCACAAGTTGTTCTGGTAAGTTCTCCCAGTCTTGTCACACTCTCCATTCCTTGGTCTTCCTGTGCTTGTGCAAAAGCCTACATGAGGCCTCCAAAGCCATCTGCAAGCCCATGCATGGTCTCTAGAGGCTCTTCCCAAATCTTCCTGGCCATAAAGCACTCCTCCCCCCTTGTGGCGCCCCTGGATTCTTACTTGGGACTTCTGCTTCTCATTTAATGACCCATGCATTTTGGAGTTATGACAGCAACCGGGACTGCCAAGATTGTTGCTACTTTACAAAGCAATGAGGTCATGTGACATCATGCTTTTTGACTGCATCCTGATCCCAATTGTCATAACTTGAAGACTGTCTGTGTTGTAGCTTCCTAGGCACCAGTGTGAACATCCACTCTTTAGAAAGCTGTAGAACTGTAAGACGTGTTTATAAAAGTACAATGGCATTGCAGAAAGACCTGATATGTCTTATTCCAGAATGCCAAGCATGGAATAATACATTTAAATTGCAGGAAAGTAGACTCTAATCGAATCTTGGAGCGGGGCAGTTCCTAACAAAGCAGCTGGATAGTGGAACCAATTGCCCTGAGAGATGGTAGTCTCCCCTTCAAAGCTGAGTTCAACCAGAGGCTAGACAGACACATTTTTGGGATGCCTCAGTTTGGATCCCTGCACTGAGCAGAAGAGGTGGACTCAATAGCCCCTTCTGCCTCTAGGATTCTTTGCAGTCTGTCTTTCCTTT